TGTTAAGGTTAGGCAATATAATGCTGTATAGCTATAAGGGTAGCGCACCGGACGGTACGCCAGGTTTCATCAACAAAGACATCGCGGATATGATGTGGACAGCGGTTGACGTCACCAAAAGTGACAATCAATTTGGTGGGTATGGTATGGGGTGGATTGTGGTCAGGGATGAGAGGGCTAAGTATGCTTTCTGTGCGGAGCCTATGTATGCTAATTGGTTTGGTCACACAGGGGGTGCTATCGGTGCCGAGACATTGCTTTTCATTGAGCCCAACGAGCTTATTATTGTCATAATAGCCAATACTGTGGGCATTGAGAAGACTTTTGATGTGGTCACACATATCGCACATGTCTTCACTGAACACAAGAATTGGACACAAAAGTTGTCACAAATATTATCGCAAACTATAATATCAGATGAATAATTGAGAAAATTATTTTTGTTATTTGTAGTATCTAGTTGTTTTTAAAAATTTATGCATTTTATTAAAAAATATTTTATAAAATATAGCTATTAATGAAATGGTTTTCTTAATCTTCAATATATTTGTTTTCTTTGTAATTATTTGCGAATTTGATAGTATCTAGTTGTTTTTAAAAATTTATGCATTTTATTAAAAAATATTTTATAAAATATAGCTATTAATGAAATGGTTTTCTTTTAGAAGTTATATAAACAAAAGAAACATTAATAAACGCTTAAACACTCATTTATCTTTCTTTGCTTACTTATATTATTTGTAGATTTATTACAATTTTATATCTGTTATTAATAATTAAATTTATTACAAAAATTGTTTTTAAAATAATGGATACTTGCCGTGAAAGCGATCCTCTTAGTCATCACGAATTGATTGCCACAACTGAACCCAATTAAGTGAACACTACTTCCCAATCGATTCAATACATTCAATACCTATAGAAATAAATCTCACAATTATAAAATGGTCAGTTTTTAAGCAGAAACATTTTACTTTAAATTTGCCTTCAATTGACATGGTTGCATTGAATCGAGAATATAGTTTATGAAACAATTTGTACGATTTTTGTGTCTCTGTATTAATTGATGCGGTAATCAAATTGAGACATAAAAGTATACCAATTGACGATATATTCAAATATATAAATATGATGAACACTATGTACGCTATGTTTTGCATTAATAATAAATGGGACATTAATAAAGCAAATGGTATTAAAGTGTAGCACACATTGAAATAATAATATTTCCAAAACTTGTTACATGTGTTGACTATAAAACAGATTCTGTCGTCAAGTTTACATAACTCATAGAAATTCTCGTTTTTGACAAATAATGTACTTTTAATTGCATTTAATAATTTTGAATTAAATTGAATGAATAGTAACTTACAATAATAGCATACAATATAGTAATAAAGAGAACAATAGATAATTGGATAAAGTATTGTGAATTCAATCCAATAGAGTATTACGGAAAGAATGCCATAAATAAGTATTTGTTTAAAAGTCATCAAAACATATACTGTAGTAAATGCATAGAAAATAGCCCACAAACATGTTACATAATTTGTGTGTTTAATACTTTTACATATTATATCAATTCGTTTAAAAAACCGTTTGATTAGTATTTTATCATTTAAGCCGATTGTGTAATACGGGTTCAAACCGCTCAACACATGTATTATACAAAACCATTTGTAATTCAATCCATTGTTCATAATATATATGAGTCTTATAGACAGGAAAGCCAGAAGAATGGTTGATATATATGCCATCTCTGCTATACCGCCAGCATATTGAATCAAATCAAAGTAATAAAAGGGTAGGCGCCCATTGGTTGACATAATTATGTAAATAATATTTCTAATCATTACTGATAACAATATTAAACATAAGAGAAAGGTTTTTAATTTTTGAATTATTGTTTCATTCCTTGTTACAAATGATTGACCTACATCATACCTATTGAAAATCCACCACTTGTACAAAATTAAATTTAAATCCTTAATAAACATTTTATTTTTTATTACGGTATAATATACTTTATTATATATCTAATAATAAATGTACTGTAGTTTGAATGATATTTATTCAATAGTATTACAATTATGTTTGCTGCATAGCAACATATGACATGACCTTTATTTATAGTATTAATATGTATTAATTTTAGTCTAATTATACTGTATATGTGATAATTGAATATTAATTAGTACTGGTAATATTAGTAATATTAATAGTTGCACACTAACAGAATATCTTTATAGTACTAAAAACGTATTTCTAAACAATTTAGTTATGTTTCGTAAATATATATTTTGATGTTTTGTAAGAGTTGGCAAACTTATGGGTAATTATGAAGAATCGGATGAATATAATAAACATCTATGTATTGAAATAAATTAAATATACTCTTTAAATATTTTAAATATTTATTTAATTATTTTATAAAAATTTATGATATACTAACCAAAAGGGCTGTCCGTTTAGTCATTACAAACTGATTGCCACAACTGAAGCCAATCAAGTACTGCTTGTTTCCCATGCGAGACATCCCATTCAGTAGCTGTGAATAAATAAAATAATTATCTATTATATAACAATCATATTATAGCTTATTGTAGATATAAATACTTTGAATTTTCCACCAATTGATATAAATTTGTTAAAATGTGAAAATAGTTTATGAAATAATTTATACGATATCTTAGTCTCGCTATTGATTGAAGCGGTTATCAGATTAAGACTCAAAAGTGAGACAATCGATGATATGGCGAGAAATGCTATGATTATGACTGCAATAATCTGTAAGTCTTGAAACAGTATTAAATGAGTTAAGGCCAGGGTATACGGGATGAGGATATAACAAACACTTTGATAATAGTATTTCCAAAATTTATTACAATTGTTGACTATTAAACAGATTTGGTTATGAAGTCTCATTAAATAACAAAAGTTATTATTTTTAATAAATATTTTTCCGTTGATTTCATTAATTAATTTTGTATTAAATTGTCTGAATAATAGTCTGCAGTAATAACAGATAATGTAATAATATAGAGTACAAAAAATAACCGGAATAATTACTAATAGCATTTTCCAATAGAAAATAGATGATAGTAAACCATAAATAAAAATTTGTTCAAAATTCATAAACATATAAATTGATGTAAAAGCGTATAATATAGCAAACACACATAGATTTATTAGTGAATAATTAATTAATTTACATATTATATGAACTCGATTGACAAACTTCTTGATCAAATATCTGTCACTTAATCCGATTGAATAATAAGGTATTAATCCACTCAATGCTTCAATAACACGAAACCATTGATAATCACTTCCATTGTTCATAAAGTAGACCAGATTTAGAGCCAGAAGTGCCAACATAGCTATTGCCAGGTATGACATCTCGGCTATACCTCCAACATATTGGATCAGATCGAAGTAATAGAGGGGTAGGGATCCAGTATTGGCCGCCATTAACAGATATATAAAATACCGAATTATGTTTAACATAATTATTATATAGAAAATAGTAGTTTTGTAATGACTTGTATTAACACCAATGGTTATCGGTTTACTACTAATATCAAGTCTATGAAGAATCCAATACTTATATAAAACTAGATTTAAACCTTTAACAAACATTTTTTATATTCTTATTATGTATACTAGTAAAACAATTCTGTTGTTTATGCAGACCTAAAATTATATAAAATAAATTATTTGACAAAAAATATTTGCAATTATAATTAATAATTGGAATTCTATGAATAAAAATCATTTATTATTATTTATTATGTTTTTTCATTCAACGCAACGATATCTGAGTAATGAGAATAATAATTAATGAGCCTTGAATATTCTTCCCATTATATAATTCACATTAATAAATAAAATCATTGACTTAACATAATAGTATATTGACAGACCTGGATAAAATTATTCTATTTCTGGTCAAACATGAATTTTTAAAATGATTTTTTTCTATCTTTAAAATTAAATAGACCACCAAGACAAGATGTGTACACCAAGATTTTATAAGATAAAATTTTATTAATAATATCAGTAAATAGATTTTGAAAATTTTATTTTATAAAACTGAACATTATAAAATAATTAATTATACATAATTATATTTAACTATTGATATTATTGATCATATAAATATCTAATCGTATATATATTTGGTTGCTTTGTAAGAATCGGCAAATTTATGAGTGAATAGGAAAAATCTGACGAATATAATGAACATCTATTGATATAATAAAACAATTGATTAGAAAATAATGAATAAATTACAGAAATCACAAAATACTAGCCGTGAGAGCGGTTCTCTTAGTCATCACAAACTGATTGCCACAACTGAACCCAATTAGGTGACGGGTGTTTCCCACACGTGCCATCATATTCAACATCTAGCATCAATTTAATAGTTAGTACATAAATCAGATTGACAACATTAATGTTTAATATAATCATTACCTTTAATTTTAGTTTAAAATGTATACTTAAATTAAATTTCACGTAAAACTTATGATAAAGTTTATATGTTTTGCATGATTCGCTATTAATAGATGCTGTTATCAGATTAAATGTTAATAGTGACACCAAATATGATACATTTGCCAGTGTTATAATTATTAGTGCCCAGAAAGTTATATTTTGAAATAAAATGACATGTGTTAACATTAGACATAAAGGTATCAATGAATACACAACACAAAAGTAATAGTCTTTCCAAAACATGTTATGTTTGGTTAAATCACTACAAAACCTATTGTGTTCATCGAGTATGTCAATTATGTACTTGGTATCAACACTAATTTTAGGCATTAATTCTGTATTAAATTGTTTGATCATAATCTTGACGTAAAAACATACGATATAATAATACAAAAAGCTATAAAACACGACTGGAAATATGTTAAATATGAATAGAAAGTAAATAAATGCACTCATAACACCATAAGTTATAATTTGCCATAAATTCATATTAATAGTAATCATTGTGATGGCAAATAAAAAGACTAATAGATAGATATAAATGAGAAAAAAGTCAATAATTTGTTCAACAGTTTTAATTCTATGAACAAAGTTTTGGATTAATAGCTGATCCTTTAGACCGATGTTTGCCCACAATCCCTGGCCACTTAATACGCGTATAATAGTAAACCATTCATAAGTATTGCCGGTGTTAAATAAATAAATTAAACAAATTGATAACGTTATGAGAATAGTGGACGACATATACATCATTTCAGAGATACCCCCAATATATTGTAGTAAATCAAAGTAATACAGGGGGAGTTTACCATTTTTAGATTTGTATGAATATATTAACATTCTTATGACACAACTTATTAAACTGACGGTAAGGGCTAATACTTTTAGTTTTTGTATCTTTCTCTCTTTTGGCGATACATTTGCGTTGAATATATCATATCTATAGAGAATCCAATTATGAAATAATATTAAATGCAAGTCTTTTACAGACATTTTAGTGTTAACTTTACAAACATATAGACTTTGAATGAGAATTTGTATGAAAACTAAATACAAAATACTAGTAAGGCTAAATATAGTATATAAATAAAATTATATTTTATAGTAATTATTATAAATCATTATAAACAATAAATTATAGTTAATGATCTCGACAGTGAATATTCCAATTGTAAATCATTGAGTTTTTTTTGCTATAAAGTAATTATAACTTTTATTTAATAAATTAAAATACAAATCCATAAATTATACAATATAATACTGTATTAAAATAAAAATAATTACATTTCATGAGTTTACTATAAAAATATCTAAAACATACAATAAATTATACCGGTGTCACCACCGGGTACGATGCCATCGTAGATATACCGCATTGATTATGTTTGTTACGAACCATTTTAATATATCCCTGGTCACCCCAATCTATGCCCATCGAGTTCTTCACTAACCAATAGTCTTTACCGGACTTACTATCCGTCCCGTAGCCCACGGCTAGCATACAGTGGTTGATGGTCTCAAAGGCCGAGTCACAGTCGGGGTAATCAAAGACTCCGCTCCCGTAGTAGACAAATGGGGCAGCCACTTCCATACACACAGATATGGGCCCTATATTTGTCACCGCATTCTTGAGCGCCTCCTCATCACCCGGGGTTAGCACAGCAAAGGCTGAAGCCGTGGCGCCTATGGTTGACCGGTTGAACAGACACTTGTAGTTATCCCTATTGATGGTGGGATAGGAGGCCTCCGTGTCTATACCCTAATCATCACATTCATAAGTTTTTAATAAACAGGATATTAGTATTTCTCAAATGTCTAGACATACCCGTCCCTTGCGTATGATGTATTTGTAGGCCTGGTAAGGCCACCCCCCGGCATCGCAACCGGTCACCCCTTTATCGACAGTGCAATCGACGAGGTTCTGGACGGACAGCTCCACCAACTTTCCCGTAGCCTTCGCGTGCTGTCCCTCCAGCGCGCCGACAGCCGAGTGCGCCCAACACGAGCCGCAACTTTCTTGATCGCGCACTCGGCCTACCAGTCCTTTCGTACGCCAATCCACTGACTCGTGGGCTCGAGCGCCGGTGGTTTTGTGAACTATGGTCTTATTATGGTGTTCATGCGATAAATATGATTCAAAGCCATAGTTTTCAAAAATATTTAGTAAATCTTTGGGTGACTATAAATAAATTGACGATAATTAATATAAAGTTTATGAGATTGTGTTGAAATGCTATTTAAATACCATTTGCGAGTTTGCATTGTCTTGTGTTTTGCGATAGAAGTCCCGTATATTTACTCGTCTTTTACGTCGAGTCAGTTCATTGTCCTCAGAGTCGGCATAATTGATGTCATCATTGTGTTTGTGGTATATATAACCCTTGAATTGGCTGATATCCTGATTAATTTTTGTGAAATTATTTTTATGAATTAATGATTTCAAAGTAAAATTGAAAGTTAATTGTAATTAATACCACATCTGAGTATTTATTGATTGCCATTAAATAGGACTCCTTTCCCTCGGAATACCGGCGATTATGTTCAGCAATCTCTTGTTTGACATCATTATACCGATTATAATGGTTGAGATCATCATAGGAATCGTAATATACTTTTCCATGTTTTAACTTTCATTTCATAAAATAAAACATATATTAAAAACTTATTGTATTTGTAGTGATCACTATTTTTACCTTATATTGTGTCCATTCTAGTGAATTAATTTTAGTTACACGACTATAGCTCAGGGCAAATAATGTACAAAAGAGTAGTATAAGTTTCATCATATTTTTATTTTTGAGATTTTTTATGCAAGTATTTGAGTAAACAGACTAACTTAAAACAATACAGGTATGCAATAAAGTATGAAATGTTTTATATTAAGTTATATATAATTATTTTATATCTTTAGGAGTACAAAGGTTATATCGTGTACCAGATATTACTTTTGCGTGTATTTGTGTTTTTAAAATTTTATTATGACTTAGTATTTAATAAACAAGGCATATTTCACCAAAGTATGTAATAAATTAATGACTTTGTTAAATTACATAATTTCGTTCGTTCGTTGAATATATTATTTAATTAAATAAAATTTTTAAATGTTTTACAACGTATAAATATGCCCACATTATTTTTATCAAATGTAAACAAGTGACATGTCTTAGCGGAATGCTATTATATTATATAATAAATTTATTATTTGATACCTTTTTAATCTTAATAATTAATTTATTGAAGTTTCAACGATAAGGTAATACGGTATATTATGACAAATTCAAAATTCAGTAAACTTTATTTATAACAAATTGCATTTCAAAATGAATACAGTACTTTTAAAAAATTAAGTTTAAAAAAATAAATTTTAGATGCAGAATTTCATCATACAATTATATAATAACATACCTTAAGATTAAATGGTAATATAATTTAATTAGTAATTTATTTTATAAAATGATAACTATGATAACCTGTATTTCCGCCCAAATTAATTATAATGCTCATTGATTAATTGGCGTCACAAACACTTAACGTATAGATAATACAATAATTAAAATGCATTTCACTTAATATTTATTTGACATTTGATAACAAAATAAACTACAAAAATAGTGGAATTCCTTTTATAGACTTTTTATACATATTTACAATTTAAACACAATGTCTTAATTTATTTTGTCGTTTTATAACTATCGGCCAACTTATGAGTGAATATGAAAAATCGTATAAAAACAATGAACATCTACAAAATAAATAAATAAAATAATTAATTCCTATGATTGACACGAAAATAATTTAATATATATATTTAAAACACAAGTTAAATACTAGCCGTGAAAGCGGTCCTCTTAGTCATCACGAATTGATTGCCACAACTGAACCCAATTAAGTGAACACTACTTCCCAAACGAGTCAATACATTCAGTAACTATAATCAAGAATAAAAATATTTAATATTGTAAATATTATATACAATTATCAAAATGCTACCTTAAATTTGTGTGAAGTAACTAAAAGTTTACTAGTTTTGAGATATCATTTATGCAATAATTGATACGATTTTGAGGCCTCGCTATTGATTGAAGCGGTTATTAAATTAAGACTCAAAAGTGCTATCAATAGCGATATGTTAACCAAAATTACAATAAGAAATGCTCCGAAAAATAACTTTTGAAATAGCATTAAATGTGTGGCTAATAACGAGAGCGGTATTACTGAATAACAAACGGCTAAATAATAGTGTTTCCAAAAGTTGTTATATTTGTGCAAATTATTGCAAATTTTATTATGTTTTCTCAATAATTTTATCAATTTCTTCCGTTTAATAAATCCATTTTGATTTAATATATTTATTATTTTTATATTGAATTGTTTGAAATTTATCTGACAGTAATAACACACTATATAATAGTAAAGGAAACAGTAATAAAGGGTTGGAAATACATTAATTATTATTAATAAATATAAAAATGCAGCTAAAATGCCATACATTAACAAATCAGATAATTGTATTGAAAATAGTACAATAGTTATCGCAAAGAAAATGCCAAATACTAATGTGTATATTAATACATAATTAATAATTTGTTTTATGATTTTAATTTTGTGTATAAAACCATGAATTATGTTAGGATTTGTTAACCCGATTCGTGACCACAATTCAAAACCACTTAAGACTTGGATAATTTTAAACCAATCATAATTGTGTCCAGTATTCATTACGTATATTAAACTAATAGCATGTATTGCCATTATGATCACAAAGAGGTAGGCCATCTCAATGATACCCCCAACATATTGAATAATTTCAAAATAATACAAGGGTAAATATCCACTTTTAATACTAAACAAGTATATTATATACCTTACAATACAACTAAACAAACAAATAG